AGCTTTGGCAATGCAAGGGCAAGGAACGTCTCCGCGCAGCTGCAAAGCCTCCAGGGCAAAGTTCATGTCGTTGATTCCCAAGTATCTCCAACACAGATCTCACAAGCGAATGAACGTTTCCGCCACAGCACTTGGCATCTCTAGGCCTCAGGGCGGAGGCATTGCGCTGCACCGCTCGGAGGCCAAAGTCCTGGCTAACACAGTTGGCTATCCCAAGCTCTGTGGAGACTCGGCAATAGTCTCCCTTCCTGGAAATTGGCGTCCTTGTCCGCACGCCGCCCATCAGGCATGCATGACACAGCTTCGGCACGCACGGCGATAATGTCCAACAGAAACCCATCATCCAGTCTGCGCTGGTCGTCCACATGCTGCAAGACTGCTGGCGTCTGGCAAGCAGCCTTGAATAGAAAGTCATGGTCTTGTCGCAGTTCGAAGGTGCTGTACTGGAAAACAGCAGGGTTCACTTCGATGGCTTGCAGCATGAATTTGGGGTCTGATCTCACGTCGTGCGAGGCGAGGCCTAGCGCGCATGGATTGCAAGTGACAGCTCTCAGTAAGAAGTCGTCATCTTCGAAGAGTAGGGCAGCAGCATGCCGGAGACATTCAGGAGCTGTGGCAAAGGCTTCTAGCACGAAGTCCTCCGCGCAGCATACAAGACTTTACACTTCCGCACGCCGCACTGCCGGATAGCACTGCGTCCTCGTCCATCCGCAGCTCTTCCGATGCAAAGCGCAAGTTGCTCCCATCACCCAGCACGGCTTGCAGTACCATCTGCCGATCTCTCTGGAAGTCCTGCAAGTATGCCAGTGCTTGCGGATTAACACTCAGGGCGAGGAGGACGAACTCGCGGTTCCGTGTCAAGGTTTCGGCGGCATACAGCACGGCGGAGGAGTCGTAGCGCAAAAACGCACAAATGAGGCTGGGATCTCGTCTCAGCTCGGCTGAAGCCCACCCAAGCACGCCTGCCTGGTAGGTTGTAGCTTTCTGTGTCTGCCGAGCCCCGAAATTTAACAGACTGGTCAACCAGGTTTTGCTTGGAAAAGGATTGAAGCACTTATGAGTCTAATTTGCGGAAAGCTGCATTTTGCTGCACGGCCGACAGCACAACTTCGCGATCAGAAGCAAAGGCCGGTAGGTGCTTCAGAGCGCTGCCACAAACTCGTACGGCCTATAAGCACAACACTCACAACTGTTCATCCCCTGCAGGCCATGTCCAACTACTCTCGCCAGACCATGAACTATTGCCAACCGACCGGAATCCCATGCATGGCCTCCAGCGCGAAGCTCCGGTCTCCCTTCAATGTTTCAGGTGCGTCCATCAGGACCGCGACATCCTGAGCTACAGCTCGCAGCACCATTCGGTGGTCCCATCGCAGGACGTCCGCCGCATGTTGGAGGGCCTGGCCGTGGTTGTCTACGGCCGCCAAGACGACCTGACACGGCGCAGCATGGAATCCCCCGACATCGCGCCTCTGGATCTTCTCGAGTATCCTCTGGCACTCTGGCCGCCTCTGGGTCCGACCGTAGCGATGGGGCTGCAAACTCCAATGCCAAACCGTTTTGCCGCACGGCAGCCAAGACCAGCCTCAGAAGCCGGCGTGTTGTCACGGAGTAGACAGCATCTGCACACGATGGCGCTGTTCGACCCCCACTTCCTACCCCCGCCGAGACACTCCTTGTCAGACTTGCCCTCGTCAGAGGCAAACTCAAGGGCAAGCGCATCCTGATGGACTACTTAGAACCGTCGCGCCTCGCAATCTAGGACTCGACCCAGTAACCTTTCTTATAAGACGCGTTGCAAGCTTTACGCGGCCGATGGCTATCAGGTCAGGTCTGGGTCGCATCCTCCATGTGTGGGCTCCCAACAAGTCTGTGTTTCCCTCGCCCAAGCACGATAGTACGAGTAGGATACATGAAAACTACATCGCTTACAGCGGCTTACAGTGTTCACTCCAACCCGTTCCTCATCCCAAGGCTAAGCGCAAGCCTGCTCCACAGCGATGGACAAGATGACTGCATCTGCTCTGCAGCTCGACGCTGCATGCCGTAAGGCCCTGGACACAACGAAAATCAGAGCAGCGGCCACAGAGTCAGGCCTTTTGGGTAGCCAAAGTGCCTGCCCTTGCATCGCACGGCTTCTGCGACTACAGCAGCCGTGGCCTGGCGCAATGCTACACGCAGAACAACATAGTCCTGCAAGTACTTGGTCTGTCTTAGCTGCACGCAAAAGATCCTACAGAGTCATAATTCGGTTACCGGTTTCGTCGGGCCTTGCACACGGCTCTCGCAAAGCGCAGGGCCTCGCCACATTGCCGGACAGCCGTTAAAACCACCTCCTGCGAAAGATACTGGAGAATTCGCCAAATGCAAGAGTGCCGGAGCAACATTTCAAAACTGGTTTCCTCATCGGCCCTGAGCTCATCCGACGCATGCCTGAGCGCCAGCCCGTCGCGCGAGACTGCTGCGAGGACGGGGACGCGATCTGCACGAAGGCCATCTGTAGTGTGGCGGAGGGCGGTCCCAGTCTGATCCACGGCGACGGCCACGACCTCCAGTGAACGTGGGTTCGAGGTGCAAAGCTTGCCTCCGTTATGAGCAATCACCCCGGCCAATCTCGGTGGTAGACGTTTCGCGATGCTCCTGCTCTATTGCAGTTCCCTTCCAGGGCACCTTCGCATCGGCTCTTGCCGCCCTGGCGGCAAACTCCAACGCAAAGCCGTTCTGCGCCACAGCAGTGAGGAGGACTTCCTCGTCCTCCTGCAAGATATACTTCGCAGTATAAGTATTTTCTATAATATCACATGGTTGTGCCTTCAGTGCTTCAGAAGCCAGTTCAAGCGCCATCCCGTCGTGCGCTACTGCAGCCAACACAACCTCCTGTCAGGGTTGCAAGAGAAGCTGTCCAGGCTGCAACTAGCTTTTCACATGCCAGTGTAATTCATGCTTTTCCGAAGACAGTTCGCCTTGTCATCCTGCCAGCTGCCAATTCTGCCCAAAGCTTCTGGAGCTCGGCTAACCGCTGCAAGGATGACCTGGCCGCACAGTTCCGATACCTTCCCGAGCCACCGATGTCAGGAACATGTATGCGGACCAACAAAGACAAATGCCGAGCAGCATCTTTGCTCAGCTCCATGATGGGCAGCTTTCCAAGAAAACGGATCACTTCGTCACCTTTGTGCCACATGGGAACGCTAGTTCTTGTTCAGCTTTGCAAAGGGTCGCGGAAATCTGCAATTCCGTCGTCATGCATCGCGATGACGGAACTCTCTGAAAGATCTATTTTCTGTTTATAGGCTTCCACGAGGCAAGATGCTGGAGCAGCTGGTCAGCTTCTGGAGCTGACAGGTTTCTTCGGCATCGCGCAAACCAAATTGCAGGGTGAGCTGTGGAGGATCGGTTGATTCTTCGCCAGGTTGCAGAAGCGCCTTGGTTTCGGCACAACACACATGCAAATTCACAAACGCCAAAATCGTTGCACGTGCACACCAACACAAACGCTGAGTCGCTTCCAATGCGAGGGTGTCGTCGAGCAAGATTTTCTTGTTGTGTTCCAGTCGTATGCCAAGCGTGGGCACTCCGAACCTCTAGAAGACTTTGGCTAAGCCAAAGCCCTATGAATCGACATTAAGCGAACGGACATGGACGATGCTGTGGTTCATGGGGAGATCAATATGTGAAACAATGAAAACTGAGCCCGGCAGCTTTTCAGCCAACCTTTGCTTGAAACACCCAAGTTCTTCGGCCACTGCGGCCCTCACTTCGAAGCTCTGCCCCATCGCTTGTGACAGCACAACTTGCAAAGCCATGGCTGAGATTATCGCATTCTTGTGAATAGCAACTACTGTTATGACGGGCACATTCACTCATAGCGACGTGCTATCAATAGCTCCGATTTTGGGAAAGAAACTAACCTCGTCAATGACATCTGGTGACATGGTCCCCCAACAGTCATCTTATGACGTTGATTTTTCGGATGCTTTGGGGATAGGCGAATGTTGCTAATCGTAATTTTAAAGGCTGCCTTGCGTGTCGTTGTGGCACCTAGATTGGTTCCATTCCCGGAGGTCTATTCTTCAGGCGGCCTAATGTATGAGTATTGTACAAATGCAAAAAGCACAGTTCACTCGGCTTGGAAAGGGCTGCACGTCACGGCTCAGTTCACAATTGGCTTGCCACTGCACGCTGCACTGCACGTTACACTAGAGGGGTCTTATTTCTTGGTTCCTGCTCGCCCCAAAGACAAAGGAGACATGAGCGCACAAGAGTCCAACATGAGCTTGACATGAGGATCCACACAAAAATTAAGGGACCCCAATATAGCACCCTAAATAGTAGGATCCTGAGAATAAACACTCCAATAATACCCTAAACTCTAAAAGTCTCGCAAGCCAGGAAGTGCATGCACGCCGCCTCAAGGCGGGCTTGAAGGGGGGCTTAAGGGAGGCTTGAAGGGGGGGAAGGCTTTGAAGAGGGGGAGGCTTCAAAGGGGGCTTAAGGGAGGCTTGAAGGAGGGACTTTGAAGAGGGAGAGTGGCTTCAAGGGGGGCTTGAAGGGGGGCTTAAGGGAGACTTGAAGGGACCTCAAGGGGGCTAAACTCAAACAAGACTTAAAAGAAGCAAAAGCCACGCGAAAGGAATCTAAAATGTAAAAAACAACAAGCTTAAACAAAACGCAGTTACCGAAGAAAAGAAGAAGCCACACGAAATGGCTTCATGAGGGGTTTTGCGAGGAAAATACAAGAGACAAGACGAAGGCAAAGGAACAAAACGCAAGCACTAACACCAAAAGAACCGTTGGTTGAAGCGCCAGAATCGACACTAAGACAGCATACACAGTCCAAAAAAACCAATTGTTTAGCTTTCCGAGGATTGTCACACGAAGCCGCTGTATGGAAGGTTCTGCGACGGAAAGAAAATGAGAGCAAACTAAAGTGAGAAAAGAACAAACTCAAACAAAACGCAATCAATCAAAAGAAGAAGAAGCTACACGAAAAAGAGCCA